CACACATGGTTTTTGAATCCAGCGTCGCCCTTACTCCTCGTGACAGCTGGGAAGTCAGGATCGGGCCCCGCCGCCTGAAATACTTGGATAAGTGTCCCCCTCGCGGGCGCCGTTCCGCTTGTCCCGGGAACGGGGTGGGGCGCCCGGGGGAGACTTGGAGGCAAGAACCGCGCCGAGCAAGGGCGGACTGTGGTTTCAAGTGCGGCCGACCGCCGGCGGGTCGGTGCGGCCGGAGGAGGGACCGGAGCGCTGCGTCTTCACCGAATGATGAAGCGCGCCGATCGCCGGCATTTCCACCAACCGGAGGGCGCGGTGCTCATGTGGCCGAGCAGCCCGCGGCCTTGAAGCGTCCGGCTTCCCCATTCGCGCTGCCGGCAGATGCGGGTTCTCGGCTGCGCTCCCAACGCAACCCGGCGCCTCCACCTCCTTCCCCACCACGCTCCCCGGGTTCAGCCCGTCTGATGTTTTTTTTTTTTTATTTTGTTTATAATTTAATAGAGGTCTCTTTTTAAAAAATTCTTACCCAAGGACATTTTTTCCATTGATTTCTAGAAAGAGTGGGGGGGGGGGGGGGGCAAAAGTAGGTTTACAGTTAGTACTCGAAAGTTTATTATTGTATTTATTTGTATTACAACCGTAAACCTACTTTTGCCCACCGCAGTATATTTTTCCCTTTTGTAATTAATCTGTGGGATGATACTTTGTGATTATCTGGTTTTCTAAAAAAATGTCCACAAACATTTTGGAATCCATTCATGATCCTTACCTTATTATGGCATGTGGGGGTTGCAAACTGTTGATTCTTTACATTCATCATTTCTATGTTTATTAGCCTGCAGTTTTCTGTAAAGAAGAGCTGCTCTTTTTACTCTCTATTTTTGAGGTCTCAATGGATCCTCGTTTTTAGTCAGTGAATTGTATATAATCCATTACTGTTGTCATGTTTTTGATATTCAAATTGTCCCCATTTTGGCTAGGAGGAGTCCCTTCAAGCCAGCTCTTCTGTCCTTTAGATGTGATCTCATTTGACTTCGAGTATGTCCTTGCTTCCTCGTACAAGAGTCTCAGGTCCACATTTGGACTTTCTCCAAACCGGAATCTGTTGTTTCTCCAGGGAGCTCTGCCTCCTGTTAGTGTGGGGATAGCAACCAGGGGCTGGGACCCATGTGCTTACTGCACTGGGGAGTCCCCGCTTTTAGGTCCTTTCGGTGTCCTAGAGACATAGAAGTCACAAGTCAACGCATGTTTGTTTTGTGGGAGTGGCCTAGGACAGTGGTCGGCAAACTGCGGCTCGGCAAACCGCGGCTCGAGAGCCACATGCGGCTCTTTGGCCCCTTCAGTGTGGCTCTTCCACAAAATACC